ACAGAACCAAGCTTGGTTGCCTAGCAACAGCCACTGAGGGAAAAGCTAGTCCCACAGGAGCCAAGCAGGAAAAGTGTCTTCATCAGGAGGCAGCCATTTTGGCAGTTAATTGTGTCAAGGAAGACTGTCCAGGCTGGCAGTGGGCAGGGGAGAGGAACAGACCCAGCACCCAGCCAATGGCCCGCAAGTACTCTCGAGTGGTGGTTGATGGGCCAATAGCTGATGGAGTGCACAGCACAGCCAATGGGAGAGCTGGAAATGGCCAATACATATATAGGATTCCTCATGAACACCGTTGAGGCACTATACAGTGCCCTCCTCAGTGTTGCCATTCTCCAGGTGGGGCCTGGCGATCTCCTGGAATTACAGTGGAGCTCCAGACTACAGAGCTCAGTCACCCTGGAGAAAATGGCTGCTTTGGAGGATGGACTCTAGGACACTGTACCCCACTGAGGCCTCGCCCTCCCACCCACAAATCTTCAGGAATTCCCCAGCTCAGACCTGGCTACCTTAGCACATCCTAAGCTGTAAAAGGTAAATGTCAAGGTTTCCCTTGCTCAAAAGCCAGTCGAGTCTGACTCTAGGGTTGCGGTGCTCATCTGTTTCCAAGCCGAAGAGCCAGTGCTGTTCGAAGACGTTTCCGTGGTCATGTGGCCGGCATGACTAAACACCAAGGCGCACGGAACGCTGTTAACTTCCCACCGAAGTGGTACCTATTTATCTACTTGCAATTTCTTGCTTTCGAACTGCCAGGTTGGCAGGAGCTGGAACTAGAGACGGGAGCTCACTCCGCCATGCAGCACACTTGCCCGGGTCTCGAACTGCTGAACTACTGACCTTCCACAGCCTGCAGTTCAGCGTCTTAACCACTTGAGCCACCGCAGCTCCATCCTAAACTGAGTTACACCCTTTTATTCCATTGAAACTGATGGGCTTGCAAGGGGCTAACCTTGTTTCTGATGGCCCCGTTAATCTTTGAACGTGTCTGTTGATTCTATGCCTCCCCCCCTCTCCCAATCAATTGATTTATTGGTACTGCCTAGTTGGTGTTTCTCAGAGGTGAGAGTCGTTTCAACGCAGGGTTGAGTGGTTACCGATTCTGAATGCCACTGCTGTCGAGCTTCACGCCGAAGAAAATGGCGCCCACAATAAGCGCCAGGATGACGGTCACCAGAACCTGGAAGAGAACAAGAAGGGGGAAGAACTCCTCAAAGAACTCATCCACACAGTGACTTCAGAATCCGAAAGACGCCTGCCCGTTTCTGAAAAATTCAACACAAGTGAGAATGTTTCTCATTCGCCCCAGATCAATCTCGTTAGCAAAAGGCAAGCGGTCTTTTGGGTTGCAATGTTAAGAGAGAAATGCTATTTCAGCCATTTCAGACTGCGCCGCTTTTTCCCGCTTTCCCCCCGCCGTTTTTCGCCTGTGCAGGCGATCTCCGGCTTTTTTAAAAAAACGTTCGCTTTATAGCGCTATAGCGCTATAACAAAACACTCCAGGCATTCCAATGGGGTTGATATAATGCTGTTCCATTATATCGTTTTAGCACTATAGCGCTATAAAGCAAAAGTTCAAAAAAAAAAAAGCCGGAGATTGCCCGTGCAGGCGAAAAACGGCGGGAAAAAGCGCATCGGAACCAGGAGAGAAAACTAGAGACTACTTGGAAGCGGTTGACAGGTAAAACGCTTCAGCCCCGTTTCCTAAACGGGACAGAAGCGTTTGTGTCTGAAATTACAAATATATTCCGGTAGGGAACTGGTTCTAAAACGGTTCTGTCTGAAATGACAGACCAGAAACCGTTTGGGAACCGTTCCTCTTCCGGAATATATCGTCTGTCTGAAATTCCTCATTGAGTCCAGTGGCACGTTTGAGACCAACGGAGTTTCATTCTGGGTACAAGCTTTCATGTGCATGCACACTATTTCATTGAAATCCATGTGGGTGGCTGTGTTGGTCTGAAGCGGGTCCAGCGGCACCTTTAAGACCAATGACAGTTTAATTCTGGGATAAGCTTTTGTGTGCACTTCATCAGATACAGTGTGCGTGCACATGAAACCTTACGCCCAGAATTAAATGTTGTTGGTCTTACACTCCCATCCCAGAATCTTTCTCCTTACTTGTGCCACAGAAGCCTGAGGATTTCGAACGAGGTTTTTGAGGGAGCGCTGCGATACCCAGTAGAGCTGGGTGAAGAAACTGTTCGCATACGTCACTTGAGTCCGCAGCCTTGGCTTCTTCCTAGTGACGCCCTGGGCGTTTTCCCAGATCAGTAGCTCTTTCATCAGGTCCTGGTATTGGCTGGAGGCTATGTATTTCTCATGCAGAGAGTCCACCACAGTTTTCACCACGCCCTTCTCCTCCTCCCCCTCCTCTTCCTCCTCCACAGCATTCTCGTCATTGGTCTCTGAAATGAAAGCACTCAATTGGCACAACTGATGTGTTGACATCCATGTCAGTTTCTCGGGGACAGGAGCACACCTTTTAAAACTTTTTTAAAAAGAAGACACGAAGAAGAAGGAGGAGGAGGAGGAGGAAGAGGAGGAGGAGGAGGAGGAAGAGGAAGAGATTGGATTTATACCCCACCCTTCACTACCTGAAGGAGTCTCAGAGTGGCTTACAAACTCCTCTCCTTTTCCCTCCCTACAACAGACACCCTGTGAGGTAGGTGCGGCTGAGAGAGCTCTTTCAAGGACTGCTCTTTCAAGGACAGCTCTGACAGAACCATGGCTTGCCCAAGGTCATCCAGCAGCTGCAAGTGGAGGAGTGGGGAATCCAACCCGGTTCTCCCAGCTTAGAGTTCGCGCACTTAACCACGACACCAGACTAGCGAGGAGGAGATTGGGTTTATCCCCCCCCCGTCACTATCGAATGAGTCTCAGAGCGGCTCACAATCTCCTTTCCCTTCCCTTCCCCAAAACAGACACCCTGTGAGGTAGGTGGGGCTGAGAGAGCTCCTTCGAGAACTGCCCTTGAGAGAACAGCTCTGAGAGGACTTGTGACTGACCCAAGGTCACACCAGCAGTTGCATATGGAGGCGTGGGGAATCAAACCCGGTTCTCCCAGATTAGAGTCCGCGCTCCTAACCACGACACCAAACTGGCTCTTGCACAGAAATATCATTGGCAGATGAGGGGAAAAATCCAGTCACATTAGCACCCAACGATGCCTCCACGTCATATGACTCAAAATAACATCCCCAATTTGTCATAGTTCTTCTCCTCACAACGCTGTTTTTCATTCTGTAGTTTTATTAAAGGTTGGGAGCTGTCAAACTCGCTTTACGTTTTATTGCTCGCCTGCCCTAGAAGTTGGGAGGGGGAGGCTGACAGGAGCACATCTTTGAACCTCAGGGAAGGTAGGATCCCTCCGTCACTCTAACCCGTGTTCTTACCAGTGTGGATTTTCACATCTGTTCCCTTGGACTTCTGAACACCTTTCCCTGCAGCCACAGCTGTAGAGTCACCATTGATCACGTCAAGAAAAAAGTCAGCTGGGTTGTTGAATGGTTCACACTCATACCCTTGGGGGGGGGGAAGAGAGAAGAGAATACAGTTACTCACTCCAAAGCAAACTCCAAGAGTTCAAGATCGCCTCAAACTCTTCGCTTCTCCTCCTCCACAGCCTCTCTTGTTGTTGTTCAGTCGCACAGTCGAGTCCGACTCTCCGCGACCCCATGGACCAGATCCCGCCAGGCCCTCCGGTCTTCCGCCGTCCTCTGAAGTTGGCTCAGTTTCATGTTCGTTGCATCTATGACACTGTCCAACCATCTCATCCTTTCCCGTCCCCGTCTTCTTTGACCTTCGATCTTTCCCAGCATCAGGGTCTTCTTCTCCAGTGAGTGCTCCCTTCTCATTGGGTGGCCAAAGTATTTGAGCTTCAGCTCTCTTGGAACATATTTAATATCTTTAGAGCTAAAATTAAATGTTAAATAGGAGGCCTTTTTAAAGAAACACGAAGACAACAAAATGAGTAAATTCTGGTTTCCGATTAAGGTAAAGGTAAAGGTTTCCCTCGCTCGAAAGCCAGTCGAGTCCGACTCTAGGGATGCGGTGCTCATCTCCGTTTCCAAGCCGAAGAGCCAGCGCTGTCTGAAGACGTTTCCGTGGTCATGTGGCCGGCATGACTAGACGCCAAGGCGCACGGAACGCTGTTCCCTTCCCACCGAAGCGGTACCTATTCATCTACTTGCAATTTCTTGCTTTCGAACTGCTAGTTTGGTTCCAATGAGATAGTATCAAAATCATATCATGGCCTTCAAGTTCCTATCAACTCAGGGTGACCGCAGGGGGGGGTTTCAAGGCAAGAGGTGAGCAGAGGTGGTTTGCCCTTGCCTGCCTCTGCGTAGCAACCCTGGACTTCCTTGGTGGTCTCGCGTCCAGGTACTGACCCTGCTTAGCTTCTGAGATTTTATGAGATTTGGCTAGTCTGGGCTATCCAGTTCCGGGGAAGTGTGCTCACAGTGACCATCCTGGGGGTTTCAAGGCAAGGGGCAAACAGAGGTCGTTTGCCATTGCCTGGCTCTGCGTAGCAACCCCCTTCTATGGTGGTCTCCCCTCCAAGTACTCACCAGGGCCGACCCTGCTTAGCTTCCGAGGTCTGGCAAGATCAGGCCAGCCTGGGCTATTAAAGCTACATAGATGGTCTGTAGACCAGTATTTAAATGTCAGTGCCAAAGCTGAACACCATGGAAAGCAGATATCCACCAAGACAAAAAAGAGAAATAAACCCCCATAAAGATGAATACCAAGCAGGCCCATAGGCAAGGTTTTGTGGCTTGTGGGGGGACATTTTTTCCTGGTGGGGCTGAAGTTCTCAGTGCAGAAAGAAAAGCCATTTAGCCAACAGGAAGCTGATCTCAAAACTGCAAGTTGTCAATGACTCTACAGTTCTCAGCTGCTGCAAGTTAATCACTTCTGCCAGCCTAAGCAACAGTTCTGATAACAATTCGGCAGGTGGGGGCGAGGACTTCTATAGTCAAGAAAGCTAACACTCTTAAAGGAGACCAGTTTCTTGATACAGAGTTAGAAGGTATCCTAGAGGTCACCTACTCCAACCCCCTTACTCAGTGCGGGAATTAGTCAACTACAGCTCCCCACTTTGCCTAAAGGAGCACATGCCTTTAAAAATGTTTTAAAATAATTGAAAAGAGCATTTACAGGAGAAATTCTGTGGGGCTGTGCCTTTAAGAAAGGGGGCAGACCCTCAAAAGCCCCACCATAGCTACGGGCCTGATACCAAGTCTGGCACAAAGCTCTGGCAGCCATTCATTTCAAGGCAATCTGGTGTCTCTGCCGGTCACAGGCAGACCTAATACGCAAGTGGCTCATCCCAGTTCCACCTCATGTGAGAACCGAGCAAACTCACCCACAGAACGGAAGTACTCCAGGGCGTGTTTGGCAGGGCCGTGGTAGAGAACCTTCCCCAGAGCCAGCAAAGTCAGGCTGTCGAAAAGCTTGAAGATGGAATACCGAGGCTGGTGGATGGAGAAGATGATCGTTCTGCCTCTTCGGGAGAGCCTGCGAGGGATGGGCGAGGCCAGCGGTTCAGAACGCCATGAGCAAAAAGAGGCAAGCCGTAAGAACCCTCTTGGAGTGGCAAACGCTGTACGTGGATATCAGTAGCCACGTGCATCAGTAGATAGGTAGCTGCCAGAGGCATCATCCAACCAGAACAATTAGCTGATTTCCCCACCAGACGAGATCACTGTGCTTGGCATTGTTATGCAATGCATTTCCACCTTTCCATCCATTATTGCACCACTGGGTTGGGTGTATATTCTGTATACGGCCATGACTTGTGGGAATGCATGTGGGAAGGGGATGCAATGTGGGGGTTTTCTTGGCTGCTGCACTCCTTCCCCTGATTTTTATTTTTGTATTTTGTAATATGTGTGCGTGTGCGTGTACCTGGAAGTCACGGTGACCTCTGGTGCCTGACCCCTCCTGGGGGCCTGGAGGATATTCAGAGAGGCGGCTGAATCAAGCCTGCCCCCGCCTCCCTGCTTAGCTTCCAAGATCGGACGAGATCCAGGTCAGGCCTCCTTCCCCCCACCGCTTTTCAGTGCAAAAGAGGCTCCTGAGAGATCTTGGACCCTGGAGCAGGGGGTGCTGTTTCATGCGGAGACAGCCTGACTCTTCAATAGCAACTGATGTTTCATGTCTCCCAAGCGTGTGCATGTTTGCTATCATAGTGGAGACAGCACCCCTCTAATTTGCAGGGCAGATAAACTGCCTGTCTCTTGGGGGCAGGGCCGGCTCCAGCTTATTTTGCACCCTAGGCGAGGATCCCTTCGCCCCCCCCCCCATGCGCCCACCAATTTTACAAAATAAATGCATTTTAGGAAGAATGAAAAACACAAATAATCAAGAAACTCCCAGAGTACGGGGCCGGGTGCAGTTTGGTGCCCCTAAGGGCCGTCCCGCTCTAGCCGATCGCCTAGTTCACCTAGTGAGTGAGCCGGCCCTGCTTGGGGGGACCTTTCCCTCTTTCTCTCTCTGCAGCACTCCCTGCCTACCAACGTGTGCGAGCAAAAGCCTTTGATTTTGTCTCCTGAAGGACAGGCAGGCTGGCTGCCTACTAGAGGAGCAGGGGGAACCTCTCTCAGTCCACGTATGCCCTGCAAATAAAAAGCAAAAGCTCTCCCCCAGCTGGTAGGTGCAGCCCCAGAGAATGAAATAGTTTATGTTAACAAAAGTCACGGTCGTATACGGAAAACCCTCCCAGTGGTGCAATAATTGGTGAAAAGTGGAAATACTGTGCATAGAAACGCCAAGCACAGTGATCTTGTCTGGTGGGAAGATCAACGGATTGTTCTGGTTGGCTGATGCCTCTGTCAGCTACATATCTACCGAAATCACTCTTCCCTTGCTGACCCTCCTGCCTCCTGGGAAAACAAAACTGATAGAGAGCCTAGACGTAGCAGTCAGATAGAAAAGCGTCTGACCAGTGTTCCCTCTAAGCTAAGTTAGTGTGAGTTAGCTCACAGTTTCTTAGCTTTTGGCTCGCACTTTTTTGTCATAGCTCAGGAAGGATGGCTCCAAAGCAAGCCGATTTATGCAGTAGCCAAATCGCTCGCTCACAGCTTTAATGCCAGTAGCTCACAAAGTTGAATTTTTGCTCACAGGACTCCACAGCTTAGAGGGAGCACTGCTTCTGACCATTCCTGACTGTCAGAGATCTGAATTTGGAACAATACGCACACACATTAATTGCAGTGAATCTTCTCCATTTTCCATTTCTAAAAATGCAGTGTTTTATTAAATCAGATACATACTGAATTATTACAACACCAGTCAAATTGGGCTGTTTCAGTTAGAAGAAGAAGAGACTGGATTTATACCCCGCCCTTCACTACCCAAAGGAGTCTCAGAGTGGCTTACAATTTCCTTTCCCTTCCCTTCCCTACAACAGACACTCTGTGAGGTAGGTGGGGCTGAGAGAGCTCTTTCGAGGACTACTCTTGAGAGAACAGCTCTGAGAGAACTTATAACTGACCCAAGGTCACACCAGCAGCTGCATGTGGAGGAGTGGGGATTCAAACTCTGTTCTCTGAGATTAGAGTCTGGGCTCCTAAACCAAACAGGTCTTCCTGTTCATTTTTGCAGGTGACTATCTCAAGGAAAGAAGTATTTCTCGTGCACACATAAACAGGGTCTATTGATGTGTAAACAAGAAGTGGCAAACCAAAATTAAAGTTACGCGTGACAACAGTTGTATATACGCACAGTTTTTCAGAGTGCTAAACTGAATGTGTTTATTGTTTTCAGTATTACAGTTTTCTTAAATGTTTAAATAACATTAAGGGGAGCGTATGCTACTTAGTTCCCATGCCAAAATACATTTAAAAGTATTCCAATCAATATTATTAAAGCTTTGAAGTTGTTTGACTACAACATTTAAGTGCACACTGCGGGTATCTGGACAAACCCAGATTAACAAGCACTAATCTATAATAGCTTTTAAAGAACCCTCTCAGGGTTACCATAAATTCCCCCAGTGTGTGTAAAATGCAGATTAGAGGATACAAGTGGAGACCCGCAAGAAACTTGCGGGATGGTTATCTCATTCATCACACCTTTGCTTCCTCTCCTCGTACCCTACCGCTCTCGTACTATTTCTCCCCTCTGCCCCCCTTTTCTTACTCTCTATTTCTCCTCCACGCATGTGACTTCCTCTCTTTCTGACCTGTCATCTTTCTCTTTGTTTTTCTGCCTCCCCCCTTCATCACTCTTTCTTTCTCTTTCTGCCCCCCACCCCATCATTCTTTCTTTCTGCCCCCATCACTCTCCCAGCCTCCTTCTGCTTCCTCCCCCTCTCCGCAGCGTTGGGACAGTGAGGCTTGGGGTGGCAAGCAGCCTCAGCAGGGTATGATGCCATAGACTCAACCCTCCAAAACAGCCATTTTATCCAGGGGGACTGATCTCTGTCGCCTGGACAACAGTTGTAATTCTGGGTGATCTCCAGTCCTCACCTGGAGGCTGGCAATGGTGGTTCTCATGGAGGAAATGGCCGGAGGGTGGAGTCTATGACATTACACCAGTCCAAAGTCCCTCCCCTCCTCAAATCCCACCCTCTCCAGGCTCCACCGCTCAAATGTCCAGGAATTTCCCAACTTGTAGTTGGCAACCCTATTTCCTTCCCACCCAACAGCCGACCTACCTTTATCTGCCTCTCCGTCTTCTGCTTTCCATCTCCACCCCCCAGCCTCTACCTAGGAAAATTGCAGTCTTTCTCCACAGTGGGGACAAAGGCAGCTTTCATTATTCCCTCCTCCTTTTCAACTGCACAACAACCCTGTGAGGTTGGTTAGGCTGGACAGGTGTCCCACTCTTGTCCTAAGAATGTCCCCTGCCCCACTCCACTAGCACCATCTCTGAAAAAAGGGACAAAGCTGTGGGGTGCAGAACTCACTTCTGGACCTTGGCAGCTGTAAGTGGTTTGGTTTCCCCCCTAAGGAGGATGATCTCAGAAGTGCCTGGTGGCTGTTTCCAGGAGGGGCAGTTCTTACCTCTTCAGCAGGCGGAGCACCGCGTTGGCTGTGCTGGCGTCCAGGCCGGTGGTGGGCTCGTCCAGGAACAGGACTGGGGGCTCTGTGATCAGTTCCATCCCAATGTTGGTCCTCTTCCGCTCTCCGCCGGAGACCCCTCGGATCAGTTCGGTTCCGACCTGCGCGAGAGAAGTTGAAGGTATCACCGCCGGACTGTGGCTGAGACCCTGCAAGCACCACCCATTGGCCACCGGGAGGGGACGTTCTGAAGACCCCTGCCCCCTGTGGGTAGCCTCTCAGAATAAGGGGAGGGGCCGTGGCTCAGTGGGAGAGACTCTGCTTGCCGTGCAGAAGGTCCCCGCTGCAATCCCCGGCAGCATCTTCAGTTAGAAGGACCAAGCGGGAGGCGACATGAAATAGCGTTTCCTGATCCGTAGGGCCTGGCCTACGTAGGGTACATTATGCAGAGTACATCATGCGAAATGCTGGCCTGGATGAATCACAAGTGGGAATTAAGATTGCTGGGGAAAAGATCAATAACCTCAGATATGCAGACGATACCACTCTAATGGCAGAAAGTGAAGAGGACCTAAAGAGCCTCTTGCTCAGGTTAAAAGAGGAGAGCGCAAAAGTGGGCTTGAAGCTCAACATCAAAAAAACTAAGATCATGGCATCCGGCCCCATCACTCCTTGGCAAATAGAAGGGGAAGTCGTCGAAGTAGTGACAGACTTCATGTTCCTGGGATCCCAGATCACCGCAGACTGTGACAGCGGCCATGAAATTAAAAGACGCCTGCTCCTTGGGAGGAAAGCGATGGTGAACCTAAACAGCATGATAAAAAGTAGAGACATCACCCTGCCAACAAAAGTCCGCATGGTCAAAGCAATGGTATTCCCAGTCGTCATGTATGGCTGCGAGAGTTGGACTATAAGGAAGGCCGAGCGCCGAAGAATAGATTCTTTTGAACTATGGTGCTGGAGAAGACTCTTGAGAGTCCCTTGGACTGCAAGGAGATCAAATCAGTCCATCCTAAAATAAATCCACCCTGACTGTTCCCTGGAAGGCCAGATAATGAAACTGAAGCTCAAATACTTTGGCCACCCAATGAGAAGGGAGCACTCACTGGAGGAGAAGACCCTGATGCTGGGAAAGACTGAAGGTCAAAGAAGACGGGGACGGCAAAGGATGAGATGGTTAGACAGTGTCATCGATGCAACGAACATGAAATTGAGCCAACTTCAGAGGACGGCGGAAGACAGGAGGGCCTGGCGGGAGCTGGTCCATGGGGTCGCGGAGAGTTGGACTCGACTGTGCGACTGAACAACAACAACAACAAAGGGCCTGGCCTGACCTGAAAGTGGGTCCCAGGTTTTAGCAGTTTTACTGATTTGTGCAGGATCTATTTTCAGTCACCATGCCAAATGAATTTGGTCTTTCGAACCACCCAATCAAAAAAGGCTGGGAATCGTTCACAGGAAAGGCGTCAGCCCGAGACCCGGAAGAGGGGATGCCAGTGTGAGTACACATTTCCCCAGGTGGACCCTGATGGTCCGATCCAGTAGAAGGCCAGGGCATTAGCCCACAAACACAACAAGAATAGCTTTTTAATAAGGGGGGGGGGTTTACAAGTTTTCCTCAGCGGGGAGGTAAAGAAGAGTGGGGGGTGTAGCTTTCTCCAGTAAGGACACAGTGGGGAAGTAAAGGGTTTGCTTATTAATGCGGTTTGCGGTCCGCCTTTCTCACGGAAACTCAGGGCGGATCACACAGCACAGGATAATGCCACTGGCATGACAAGCCAATGTTCCCTCTAAGCTGTGGGGTCTTGTGAGCAAATATTCTACTTTGTGAGCTGCTGGCATCAAAACTGTGAGCGAGCGATTTGGCAACCATATAAATTAGTTTGCTCTGGGGCTGTTCTTCCTGAGCTAAGACAAAAATGTGTGAGCCGGAGGCTAGAAAACTGTGAGCTAGCTCACACCAACTCAGCTTAGAGGTAACACTAACTGGACAACACGTCTAAGCAGCAACATGATCGGACCCGGATCACTGACATCCGGAACACACTCACTCCCCACACGCCTTAGCCATGCAACCCTGGCAACCGAATTTATGAAAGGAAAGGGGTCACTGAAAATATCACAGGGTCTCGTAACAGGTCACTGGAGTCCTCCACGCAGCCCTTTAACTTCTAGCCCCGCCGTTTACCGTTAATTCCTTTGTGCCCACAGGAGACACACTTCATGCATCTGCTCAAGTGCGACACAGAACACCAATGTGTCAGAACAAAGTCTGAGTCCAATGGCACCTTTAAGACCCACAAAGTTTAAGCCTGGGTGTGCACGCACCCGGAAGCTTATACCCAAAATTAAATGTTGTGGGTCTTAAAGGTGCCACTGGGCACAACCTTTCCTCTGTGGCTTCAGACCAATATACCAACCCACTTGAATCTACCAATATATCAGTTAGTCTTTCATGTGCCCCCCAAAGTCCCCTTTTTCTATTTGGGATAGGGATTCAAATTCCTGTACTTATTTGGTAAAAAAACAGGATGATGGGAAGTAGGCGGAGTTTTCCCTCTTGTTGTCACTGGGAAAGGCTTCATCATTTCTCAACAGAGAAGAAGGAGGAGGAGGAGAAGAGGAGGAGGAGGAGATTGGATTTATACTCCGCCCTTCATTACCCGAAGGAGTCTCAGAGCGTCTTACAATCTCTTTCCC